TTATCGTCACAAGGGTTGCGGGGCATGCTGGAGCCTATTCCAGCTGTCTTCAGAAAGTAGGCGGGAACACCCTGAACTGGGTTGCCAGGGCACATACTGTATGGACTTACAATTATCCGCGCTCACAGCCACACTTAGGGACAATTTAGAGTGTTCCATTAACCTGCCATGCATGTTTTTGTAATGTGGGAGGAAATTGGAGTACCCGGAGAGAACCCACACAGGCACGGAGAAAACATGCAAACTCCACACAGGAAGACCGGATCCGGAATTGAACCTCGCACATCTGCACTGGTGAGGATGAGGCGCTAACCAGTCGACCACCGGGCCGCCCTCCGCCAGGAACCAATTTCATATTTTTTATCTTACTGTTCTTCATTTGCTGGAGATGGAGGCACAATGGACAGGTGGTTTAATATTTTGCCCATGTGCTGTATTGTAATTTACATTTGCCAGTTGGGGGCCTCACATTGAGCGCGGGGCCCGGTGGTCCAGTGGTTAGTGCGTGTGGAGTTTACATGTGGGTACTGCGTGGGTTTTCTTCGGGTACTCCGGTTTCCTCCCACATTCCCAAAAACATGCATGGCAGGCTTCTTGAACACTCTAAATTGTCCCTGGGTGTGAGTGGGAGTGCGGATGGTTGTTCGTCTCTGTGTGCCCTGACATTGGCTGGCAACCAGTTCAGGGTGTCCCCCGCCTACTGCCCGAAGACGGCTGGGATAGGCTACAGCACCCCCCACGACCCTTGTGAGGATAAAGTGGAACAGAAAATGGATGGATGGATGGCCTCACATTGTCAATGGGATGACCTCCATTCCATAGAATGATATGGAGTGAATTTGTCTACACTTTACATCGTCGTCCCTAATGTGTCCTGAGAGATCATCATAGGAAAATTTCTCAATTTCTCAAAATCTGATCCAGGTACATTTCTCTTTCTTCATCTATTTATGACAGCACATACTGTATAGTGAGATGCAGAACAATGAATTAATTCATATGGCAGAAGGTGTTTACGGTAAACCACCTGTGGCTCATTTGTAGTACAGTGGAACATCTCCTGGCTTGCTGCAAGTACTGTATGTGAGCTTGGTGTTTTTGGAAATTCCCAGACAATTTATGAGTTAATTGAGATGAGTCCATTATTATTTCAATATTCATACATGACATTTTTGTTTGGTGCTGTTGTGCCGTGAGATTGTTCAATAAAGGTTGGGAAAAGCTGGTCTGGTACAGTCGAGAGTCGAGTGGAGGATTGCCTTGTTTTTGTTTTTGTTTGTTTTGTTTCGTTTGTTTATTGAACATAAAACATATACAGTAATCATTTCACAGAAAGTAAGTTAAGTAAAATAGTAAAAAGGAAAGAGAAATCAGTCATCATTCAACACAGTTATTATGTTCAAGGGAGTAGGAAGAAGTAAGGAACTTATCTAGTCCTACCCCGTGTTCTGTGTTTATATCTAATAAATCATTTTTATATCAATCAGAAAAGAAAGAAAGTAAGCAGAAAGAAGTCTCCATGCCTTCATGAAGGCACGTGCCCATCTGATTGGGCAAATGAAAAAAACAGAAAATGTACTTCTCCACTGAAACAAGACAAGAGTGTGTGTGTGTGTGTGTGTGTGTGTGTGTGTGTGTGTGTGTGTGTGTGTGTGTGTGTGTGTGTGTAAGCTTGATTGTCCTTGTGGTCTCTGGTGTGTGTGCTGGGTGCTGATTTAATGGGGTTTTGTGACTTCTCATTGATCTTAGCCCTCCTACAAGTAGGAAATTATTGACTCTTGGACTACAGATCCAGTTGTCAGGCATATACTATGTCCTCGATGTGAATGGTCCTTCCAGCCCTTAGACTTCAGCAAAGGTGCTTCGACAGGAAGGTGTTTTAACGTTAGGAGGTGCTACGTGAAGCACTTTATGTCTTGTGCGTTTCGTTACGGTTTAAAATGGTTTAAACTTCTAATCAAATTTGCAGATCAGAAAAAAAAACTCACATTGCACAGTAGCCTATGTTTTTCAGGCATATTGATTAGCTTTTGCATTTTTGTGTTTTGAATCATACTAATTACATTCTTTTGAATGTTGTTTCACATTTTTAATCGGTTTTCTTGTTAATGAAAGACAATGGTCAAAACATGCTACTCACTTACTCACTTTGCTTGTTTTGCTGATGCAGTGGGGTGCCATACAAAACTCACACCCCACTGGTCCATTGTTGGGAACCACTTAATGAAAAAGGCATAATATAGTACCGTAAACCACAATAACATTAATAATCATTGTTTTTAATGTTTTTGTATTAATTAATCCTGACAGTGTAATTCAAAAAATGTAGATTTTTTTAACTTGGCAGCAAATCACATAATTCAAGAATTACTTTGATTATCATTTGTTGGTTACTGCGTTTTTGTTTTTTTTCCTTCAATAAATTCCTTTATTATTTTCACTAAAGTGGGACAGCAATCCACCAGGCCTAGCATTTGAGGCTGTAGTGAAAAAAACGTTTGATGTAACTGACAGTTGGCGCCCAATTACAGTTAAAGGATGAGCTTACAACAGATGGACATGTTGGAGTGTTTGGATCTTCACTGTACTCATCTTTCCAGAAGCAAATTCTTGTATCTTCCTTTAGTAGTGGATCATGAATGCATATTTTACACCTGCATTTGATCCCCACCGTATTCAAAAGTGCCACTCAAATTATCGCAAAGCTACCCCATGCATATAATAAAGCACAAGTGGTCCGTCAACGCATATGCCAAAGGTCTGGAGGCAGTCAGTGGACCAGTGTGTCAGCTGGCTGGTATATTTGTGTATTGGACATGTGTCTCAAAGAGACCGTAATACATTTTGGATTCACTTTGAGCTGAATTGTAGCTGCTCTGACCTGGAGATCACAGTGAAGAAACACAGCGTGACAAATCAATTGTTTCTCCTCGACACTGGGTCAGCATTGTCTCTCCTCTCTGTTTCTCTGATTTGCCCGCACTCGCTTTTACTTGTCTCCTTGTGGTACAACCCCGTCCATCTTGCACCACGGCCTCTCCAGCTTTCTCCTATTTGTCATGCCTAATATAACATGGCAATTTGCTTCCTTTTTTTCCCACTGTTTAACTTTTCAGCTGAAGCAAATCTGGACTGTTTTGTTCCCTGGGCTTTCATGCTGAATCCTATCACCACTAAATGTCTTTCCCTCTTAGGTGCGTACTGTGATTTACTTGTGTGGCTGTGTATTTGGCACTCTCTAATTAATTATATATATATTGTATTTTGGGGTCTCCTGAAAATATATGATTTTGGAGGTTACAAGGATTCAGCATAACGCCAGCAATATGAATTTAACTTTTTGAAGTGAACTACTGAAATAAATGAATTTCTTCTTCTATGATATTAATACGTAATAAGTCAGACAGAAAATAAATCCTAAAACTCAACTGCCATTTACCAAATGATGCACTTTGACTCGTAGGGCTATGGAAGAGCTTAGCATTCAGGGCATGCACTCTGATACCATGGTGACCAGAGTTGGCCATGAAGCACACGCACTCTCCTTTACTTTCCCCCTTGGTCATTCTTATCCAGAAATGCAAACTCGTCATGAGTAGTGTCATCTCTTGTCAGGTTTAGAATGAAACCCTCCTAGGTCTCTCTTCTACTATTCACAAAGCATTTTGACTCAATATCTTCAGACTATTATCCTACAGAATTTTCCTGGACTGTAATGTTGATGGAGGACTGGGCCTCAGTATGTTTATTGCAATGAATTTCAAAAGGATTTTAGCAAAAAGAATGTCAGAGAAATGTCCTCTGTGCTTGTTCAAGTCCTGCGGCTCACTCTCTGTCACCTAGTGGGCCAGGTCACTTTGCCCCTCTCACGGGCACGGCCGCCCACATCTTGAAATGGTGCGACAGTGTTACAGTATCTGTCGCTCCAAATAAATCAGTCAGCTTGGCACACTCAGTGGCTACCACCTTAGGAGTTGAGAACTTTTTAGCTTGTGTTCATTTTTATGCATAGTCATGGTCTTTTTTTAGGTCAGTTGAGGTCTGCCCAATGGTCACACAAAGGTTCAAAAGCAGGCGGCACGGTGGGCGACTGATTAGCACGTCCGCCTCATGGTGCAGAGGTGCAGGGTTCGAGTCCTGTGTTGAGTCTCAAGTACTTAATCAATCAGATTATTATTCTTTTGATTGCCTCTTCTCTAATGACAGATCGTGGGAAAATTTGCTCATTTTCACGATCTTGAAAGATTGCAGTTGCCGTTTGCATTGACGGTAATTCCAAGAAGCCATGTCGTGTGTATTTTTTATAACAGTCTGGGTTATGTGTCTTCCAGTTCTTGAGTATTGTCCTTTTCACAGCCAGAAAGGCTAAAGCTATGATCCGCGATTAAGGCTTTCATATCTTATTTACCATTCCATTGTTCTACAATTACTGTTACTGGTCACTTTAAAATGGTGCAACGATTATCTGCACCAACTTCCCAACTCTCATAGTATTGTATTCTACCATTGATCACTTTAGCGCTGCTTGATACTTTGCACATTGTCTCACAGCTGTCATTGGGTGGTACTACCGCACGACGGTACACTTAAATTACGGAATGTCTTTCCATATTTATTTGGCATGTCCTTGTTTATGATGATACTAGTGTAACCTGTACTACCGGAGACAAATTCCTTGTGTGTTCTACATACTTGGCCAATAAAGATGATTCTGATTCTCGATTCTGATTTTACTTATTGAGGTTAGTCTTTCTTTTAGGAAAGGGTTTACCAATAAAGCCACAAAAAGACAAGGAAAGAGCTTAACACACCTTTTGAGTTAATCATTTGGCGTTCGCAGTACTGGAGTGTGCTCAGGTCAGGTCTAAATTATTAAATTTGTTGGCTGAGTGCTATAGCCAAGAAGAACAGCACTCGTCAGAAAGCAGCGGTTGTGTTCCATTAATGTTGCATGTTAAGTGCATATGCCCAATGTGTGTTTTCCTATCTGTTGCATTCAGGACTCCGGGTAACAAACCAGGCAGCAGTCCCAGAGGCCACACCCCAGATGAGAGTGGACGCCGCCAGGGCTCGGGCCACGATGCCAACTCATCCGTCTCCGATTTAGCCAATTCGGTCACCAGTGAAATGCTCATGGTAACACGCTATACACATTGATTGATACACTGCTCTCTTGTTTCCCTGTAACTCAAGTCACCCATGATGGCCGTTGTCAGCAAAGCCTTTGTAAATTGAAGTGAATGAGATGGCTTTGGTGATACTATTAGAGGGCACTTCTACATCATCTCCTCTAATCCAGTATGAAAATGACACGCAAGCCTTGAGACAAAAAATGGGGCAAGTGGGTTGACAAGAATATAGAAATATTACAGCCAGTCAAAATAATGCACAACAGCTGGCAACCTTTTACAGAGAGAACATAACATAAAATTAAAGTCAATTTAAACAAGACATCTGCATTTTTTCCCCCACAGTTGAAAACAGTTCCCGTGTGTCTGAATAATATGCCTGTGACACGTATTGGCCAAAATTCCCCAAAGATTCAAAAAAAAAAAATTATAGGGCTGGAGCTCACTTGTGAGTGTGCATGTGTCAGCTGATGTTTGGCCATCTCTTCCATCTTGCACTGCAGGCTGCTTCTCAATTCGAGCACACTACCTCACCGAGCACTCAAGTAAATGCAACTTATCTGCAGCTAACTCTTAGTTAACACTACTGTGTACATTTAAAGTGACTCGATGCAGCTCTGCTTACCTTTTGACTTTGACAAAATGGCAGGATTGATTGTTGTTCCCCAAAGCTCAAAATAAAGCAGTTTCAAGTTATTCAGATAAGTGAACTGCCGAGACAGTCTCAAAAAACTTCGCTGGGTTGGACACACGCAAGTCGCATAGTTGAAGGTGGAGGAAAGCTTGGTGCTATTTAGCTTGGTGCTATTTGGTGCCAGCTAGCTAGCAACGAGTTTCAGCTGGCCACTATTGCAGCTGAACGTAATCTAAAAGTAATTATGGTGGCGATTAAGATACACTTCTGACAAGTATTGTTCTCATGAAGGAATGATGAGGAAAGATGGAGACGCCATGTTCATTTCTAAGATAACCTCAGATGGAAAAAGCGCTGACGGGAGCTAAAAAAAAAAGATCAGGGGCAATGTAGGGACGAGAAGTAGGAGAGGCAGTGAAGGTAGAGAAGAATTTATACTATTTTTGTGTGTAAATTGTTCCAAAGTGTTAACAAAGGAATAAAATTGTGTGCTGTTACCCCTGTAAACAGTTTTTTTGTTTTTGTACTGATGGTCCTGAAATAGTGGTGACGAAAAGTAATTTAGTGATGAAGGAAGCGCATTAAAAATAATGACTGAGTGACTGAGTGGTCCAGCCTGAAATAATGACAACTGACGATGACGGACATTCAGATCTGGCAAATGACGCAATAACTTTAAAAACTATTTTCACAAAGAATATAATAACTGGCCTTTAAGTTCATTAAAAACTTCACGCTTGGAGTTGAAGCGGATTACATGGGACAGGAGTAGTGAACTAATCTCTTTTTATCAATGGACGCTACAGCTTCGTGTTTGCTTTCAAAACTTAGCTTGTAGCAGACGTGCACATTTTCAGCATGACGTCTCTGATCCACTGGTAAAAGGACACTTTGATCCTCTCCTCTTTCATCTATAACTGCTTCAGACAACAAAGTGTATGCAGGAAAGTGGTGAAGATTGCACGACTGTCTGTGTCCTATGTGTTGTGTTGTGTTATTTTTGTTATTTTGACTTCAAGATGGCGCCGCGTGAGTGGCTGCCTTTCCAGCAGCTCCTATATTTTGTTGTTCTACTTCTTCCATTCATAACTTTGCTGCTGTGAATTGGGAATTTCTCCATTACGAGACTAATAAAGGTTTTCTTATCTTATCTTATCTTATTCTATAACCGTCTCGTGTGCCAACTTGGAATTTGAACACAATGATATAAACATCGAGCTATGCCGAATGGAATGCATCTCTATCGATAATCCTGAAACAATAAAGCCATATCGTTTCCAGCCCATACTATAAAATAGGTCTACCGAGTGAGATTCCACTTTTAATGTGAATAATGCAACACCAGATGGTCTCTTGATGGTACAAAATACACTTTGGAGAGATAAGCGTAGCCCCATCTCTGACTCGTTAAAAATACTCTACATGGCATTGTCTTTTAATGTCACCTGCGTGGCATGTCCCATCTCTTACCTGTAAAGTACTCCTTGTCCTGCAAATATTCACTGCACACGCGTTTTCCTGCCTGTCGTTGTGCACACCGCGGTCTCGACAAAACTTGTCTCAGTCAACTTTTTTAAAAAGTTGCGGAATAACTTACCGCTGCGCCCCTTTTATGCCGTTTCTGGTCAACCCCGTGCAAATTTTTGCTATGCTTTATTGCCCTTCCCGTGTGGAGTTTGCATGTTCTCCCCGTGCCTGCATGGTTTTCTGCGGGTATTCCGGCTTCCTCCCACATTCCAAAACCATGCATGGCAGGCTGTTTAAACACTCTAAATTGTCCCGAGGTGTGAGTGTGAGCGTGAGTGGTTGTTCGTCTGTGTGTGCCCTGCGACTGGCTGGCAACCAGTTCAGGGTGTCCCCTTCCTACTGCCCGAAGACGGCTGGAATAGGCTCTAGCACCCCCTGCGACCCTTGTGAGGATAAGCAGTTCGGAAAATGGATGGATGGATGGATATTATTATTGTTGTTGTTGCCTTAATTCACTCCCGATCAATTGCAAGTGTAGTCACTCATAAAGAGCTTATGCGGGCGTAGTGAGGCTCTTGGTGCCGTACCAATGCATTCACGAGAACAGGTCAATTTTCTTTTCATTTGTTTGATACGGTCTCGGATACTTGCACATTGCACTTGCATGAACAAATCTCCTACATCTCTTTTAAAATGATATCTGTTTGGTTCGCGACACTTGTTTGGTTGGTCAATGTTTATGGCATTCAATCCTGGGATTTATTAGCTTAAGAATGTATACAAGGAGAGTGATTTCCTGGTAAGATGACGCTAATGGCATCAAATGGTTCAAGAAAGGAAATTCTCACAATTCACTTTGTTTTCAGCTCAACATGCATTACCTATAAATAGTCATGTTTTTATTTTTTTCCAATTTATTAACGTCAGTGTTACGCTTACAACCTTTTATCTACTGCCCCCAAGTGGCCAAATTAAAAGCACTTTAAATAATTGAGGCCAGGCCAGTCATTGTTTCGTGAAATTGCATATTTGCTTTGGCTTCTTGGAGGTTGCATCAGATTTCTTTGAACATTTATATTATTGAAGTCCTACGATGAGTATCACACTTTGTATTTACATTTATTTCGGCGTTTGTTTATCAGACATATTTGTGAATCATAAATCTATCATTTTTACATCTAATGGGGACATAAAGTGTAATAACTCTTATCCCAAACAAACAAGCTTTTTTAAAGCATGTTTTTTTTCCTTTGAAGTTTCCCATTTTGATCCTGATGTGGAGCACCACAGGTGGTTGTGGCTAAACCGGGATTTAGAGTATAATCACCCACAAGTGAGACACGGAGAAGATTAGGGGAAGTGTGCCGCACTCAGCCGAGTTCCCTAATTAGTTGTGAGAGAACACACAGTGCTGTGGCTACGATGGGAATGTAGCAACTATTGGCTGCTGTTTATATTGTAATGTGCATTACGTGATGTGTCTGAGGAATTCAAATCGGTGTTGCTTAATTATGATATAGTACTTGTTTTTGTCATTAAGTGAGCGCATATGTACACATATCCAGGGAGTGTTGGGATAGTTCATTTCCTCTGCTAACGAGTTCTAAGTTCATTTCACAACTTTTCTAAATGAACTTGTTCAGTACAACAAGCCATTACACTCAAATTATTGGCATTTCCCCATCGATGCCACCGATTCCGTCCACACTAAAAGATAGCTGCAAGTTTCAAAGTACAATCTCATGAGGAAAACTTGCTGCTGGAATGCACTTTTTTAAATGAAGGAATTAAGGACCGCAGTCTTTAATGTGCAAGCACAAATCCAATCTGAAGTAGGAACCAGGCTGAGGTAGGAAATGAGCTGTCACACACAATCTAACTAAGGCCCACACTTCCACCCTTGTGTGCCTCAATTGTGCGTTGAGGGTGCAAGTGTGCAGGGTGTCCCAATTCTCCAAAGTGCTATGATGCCCCGCCCCCTTGCGCCCTTGTTCCACACTTTGACCGAGCCCTCATCGTTGACCCCTCAGTCAAAGTCTCTTACCCACTTTTCATTGCGGATTTTCCCAAAATAGTGCAAACATGGCGATGTTTGGTGGAATTTCTGTGCCTGTGCTGAAAAAAAGGCTTTTTAAGTACATACATCAAATTATTACTACTTTAAAATTTGGTATATATGTAATTTCAAACGATGCATTAAAGTCACCTGCGTATTTTGTCAACGAAAACTAAACGAAACTATTTTCGTGATTGCACATTTTTCACCAGATGAAAAGAAGACTGGATGATACACCACCCCCCACCCACCCACCCATTAATAAAAAATAATTGGGACTAAAACAGTGTGCATTTTCGTGGAACAATGAAGACAAAACGAAAATGTAATTCACTATACAAACACAGGGCTAAAATCTGTGGACGTTTTAGTGTACATAGAATATAGACGAGACGAAATTCTATGATTTTGTCAAATCCTGTCTCCTCCGCCTCCTCCTCAGCCATGAGCACAGAGTGACACACCCCCTTTCAAATCCGAAGCGAGCCAGCACAGCGTGCACAAACACATGGCCTGGGGTGGTTTCACGGTGAAAGGTTAAGAGTAAAGCAGTAATGGCCATGTTTTGCACGGAAAGACGTAATTTAGAGGGCCCCGACCTTTGCGCTGAAAATAGTAACATATCCCACAATCACATGCGGCCAACCATATTGGTAGTCAGCTCCGCCTTTCCCATTTGCTGGTCAGTTGGATTCATTTGCGCAACGACACTTTTTTAGTGGATATTAACCATCTGTAACGTACACAGAGACTTTGAACAAGCGGCGAGTGGTCCATATGCCTTTTCTTCCAATCCAAGCTGCCGTCATGCTTTCCATTTGGATGACGCATGTAGCCGTGTAAGGCTTCTCGGTTTGCCAAATAAGGTGTTCCTTGAACTTTTTCAGGTACAACAAAGTATAGAGATACACTGTTTCCCCACTGCGATGAAAATATTTCTCTTATGCTAATTCTTTAAATGAAGACAATTTTGTTGTTGTTGTTTTGATAGATTTGTCACAGTATCCATGAAGACATTTAGGCAGTATGTGAATCCAAATGTGCAAAATCTGGTGACTGAGTTTGGTGGAGGTGGCCCAGTGGTCGACTGGTTAGCGCGTCGACCTCACAGTACAGAGGTGCAGGGTTTGGTTCCGGCTCCGGCCTTCCTGTGTGGAGTTTGCCTGCGTGGGCTTTTTCTGGGTACTCCGGTTTCCTCCCACATTCCAAAAACATGCATGGCAGGTTGATGAAATACTCGAAATTGTCCCTAGGTGTGAGCACGGATGGTTGTTTTGTCCAAGTGTGCCTTGCGATTGGCTGGCAACCAGTTCAAGGTGTCCCCCGCCCACTGCCCGGAGACAGCTGGGATAGGCTCCAGCACAATCACAACCCTCGTGAGGATAAGCGGAGTAGAAAATGGATGAATGGATGAGTGAACCACCACATATTCATGATTAGCCTTTAGCAAATTCACTTGCAAAATTGGCACCTATCTTCTGTTGTTCCATTAAAAAACGTGCTATTTTTGCACTCAGGCAAAAACACTTTATTGTATGACTTTGTTGCTATCTTTTGATATCTTGGTGCCAAAGTGAATTGAAGAATTTCATTGAAAGTCCTTTGTCACCGTCTTATGGCATTTCTAAATCTATTTAGGGGATTATGACTTGTAGATTTTCGCTCTTGGCAGCAGGGCGTGGTCCAATATGAGGGTGCAAGGACGGAATGCCTCATCCTGGTATGACATGGAAGGCACAAATAGTTTTAGATTTCTTATTTATGATCAGCGGAATGTTATTGCTCGGTGAAGTTGTCGACACAGTTTTTGGTGATGTGTCTGCTGCCACATATATGTGTTTCACAGTAATTTGCTAGCATTGTGCTGCTGCCACGGGGGAAAATCGAACCCATGTTGTCTTGTAGGGGCTTGTGTCTCCTGACAAATGCTTTAAAAGTGTTTAAATGTATTCTCTAACCTGGATCTTGATTTCTGCACACAGATTAAAATAGATATGTTTGTGTACAGCTCCCAGTCCCACGCTGTGTCACAACATCTCTTGATCTTTGCATGGAATTAAGATCTAACGAAACACATTTTTTAGATTTTTGCTTTGGTTGTAGACTCCTTTTTTGGGGGGGCAGGGGTGCTTTATTGTTATTGTTACAAAAATGTGACATTTCACTTCAGTCACCCAGTGAAATTGATGGGATACTGCATATAGTTGAACAATAATTTTCTGTCATTTGGCTTGCTTTCATAGGGAAAAGAAAGTAAGCACTGATGCTGAGGAAAAGAGCAGAGGTAATGCTAAAATATCTGAGTTCACGCATCTGGGGGTACTTTTAGATTGTCAAAGTGAATAATGAAAAGTGATCACATTCGACACAGAAGAGAGATCGAGCAGCACCGGCTGAGGTGTGTGTGCAAAGTATGGAATCGGATATTAAATACGTGGGACTGTTCGTTGAGTGATGCTCCTAGCTCTTTTCCCAACAGATTGCACATTTTAACTGGATTTCTCTCTCCAGGCTGCACCTCTGTCAGTCATAGGGTCAGTCAACCAACAGATAATCGGTCTGTCATCCCGCGGCAGCCATGCACACTTGCCCTTCAGCACAGTGGCCATGTGACAACACATGAAGCTATTTTGCATTTTGAATCAATAGAGACATTTTAAAGGGCTGGGCCTTTACCCTAAGCTTATTGGACACTCAATTCCAATCATGGAACATTACTTACTGTCCCTTGTTGCCTTGAATATGAGTTAAGACATGCCCTCAGTTTGTGGACAGTAATCTTCGCTTTAAACAGTACCGGTTCAAATTTCAAAAGGTGTGTATGCCCTGTATATAGCAAGGTATACATCTGGCAGACAAGGCATAGGGTATATAAAGCAGCATAACCAATTTGCAGGAACAGTGTCCTAAAATATCTGTACCAAATTATTGACGACTGGATGTCCCATAGTCAAGATGGCAGACATCACCAAAGGTGGTTGCGATCAACCAGGCCAAGATCATGTGGGACTTCCAGATCCAAACTGACAAATTGGTCATGACCAACGTGCCTGACATAGTGGTGGTGGTATGATATGTAAAAGAGAAGTGTACATAAAGGATCCCAAAACAGGCTGAACACCATGTACAGTACATGTAGGTAGGTAGGTAGGTAGGTAGATAGATAGACATTCTCCTGTCCTCTATTATGGCGCAGCTGCATATGGAACGTGGAGGCTCCTTAATGGCTTGTGAAGCCTGCTCACTGCATCTAGGCTGTAATGCCCAACCCTCCTTGACACTTCCGCACCCCACCTCCACACGCGCTAGTCTGTGTGACATGTATTAATGTGTGCCAGTTTCCTGAGGCTATTTTCCAACTCCATACTGCTCTACTCTTAAATAAGCTTCGTCTATCGCTGCTTTTTTCCCCTTGCTCCCCCTTATGTCTTTTCATTTCATCTGCGAAAACAGGGCGCTGGAAAAGGCGACCATGCGGACTTCTGTTTTGTATCTCCCTGTTGTTTTTTTTTTCTGTGTCTCTTATTCGAGGTTTGTCTGTTCCAATTTGTTGCATTCAATGACAATAAATCTATTCTAATTCTTAATGGTTCCCCACAGTAAGGGGGGTTTGTTAAGGTGCCATTTCAAAATTTATAATTAAGCATTACTTCACAATTTTCTGGTATTGTCTCTTTTACTCTGCCCAAGATAATCTTTTTGAACAAGGGTAATTGATCAAATTAGAAAACACGTCAAACATCATATATTTCCCTTCATGTACTCAGGCTAGAAAATTCATTGTCATCGCCTTTCCCAGTTGTCTCCAGGCTCGGAAGAAGACGAACACGAGGGTCCCGTGTGTGAGAAGTTGGGTCGCATTCAGTTCAGCGTGGGATACAGCTTCCAGGACTCCACCCTCACTGTAAAAATCCTCAAGGGCCAGGAATTGCCCGCCAAGGATTTTTCCGGCACTTCTGACCCCTTTGTCAAACTCTACCTGCTGCCTGACAAGAAGCACAAACTGGAGACCAAAGTGAAGAGGAAGAATCTTAATCCACACTGGAATGAAACGTTTCTGTTTGAAGGTTTGAATGACAAACTTATTTAATTGATAATGGCCATTGTATAGATTCCTTTCGGCAATACCGCCAGAGATTTTTTTTTTCTTTTGCATGGATGAATTTCTTACAGCACAGCATGGTGTGTGAGCCTCACAATTCTGAGGTTTCTGTTTCAAATACTAGCTCTGTGGGGAGTTGGCATGTTCTTCCCTTGCTTGTTTGAGTTTTCTGCAGACACTTCAAACATGTTACTGTGTTAGTTTCTTTTAAGATGCAAAATTTTCGATACTATCACCCCGCCCATCTGTCCCGAAGTCTGAAGCAATAGGCTCCAGATCACACCTGACCCAAATGAGTGTTATAAAAAATTAACAGTTCTCTTATTTAAATAACACACATATATTCCAGTCGGAATTATCCTAGTTTTGAAAATTTCATTCTCACTCATTTTTATTTCAGTTTGACTTTTGTTTTTTTAATTCAGAAAGTTTAAATTCATTTTTAAGAGTGAGTTTGTTAGTTTTATTATTACTTTTAGTTTAGTTTTGTTTTTTTTAATATATGGAGTATTTGTGGTGTGCAAGATAAATAAAAAAGGTCACTTAATATTGTGTAACAAAGTACAAATCTCAAACTACCGGTACACTTCAACCTTCTTTTTGCTTTACGGTCAAACAGTAATGCTAAAGTCAACACATTTCAAATAAACCCAAAAGCTCGTTTTTGAAATGAATTGACAGAGATGAAAAGCAATTTGCTATAATTACAGTTACATAAGTAAGAAAAAGTAACATGGAGTTTCAAGTAGTTATCCATCCATCCGTCCATTATCTGAACCACTCACTCCGTGATTGTTTTCTAAATTGCATGAATGAAAATGTTTAAATGTTTCAAGTTTTTGTCTTTTCTTTCGTTTTCATTAACTAAAATTACCTTGATTAGGATAGATATTGTTGGCGTTTCTATCGGTGAGGACATTTTGCAATGAGTTTTTCTATTTCCCGCTGATCATTTGGACATCGGAGTATGGATTATACTGTACCTGTGTGCATTTCTATTTCAGGGTTTCCATTTGAGAAAGTGGTCCAGAGAACTCTATACCTGCAGGTTCTCGATTATGACCGCTTCAGCAGGAATGACCCCATCGGAGAGGTGTCCATCCCCCTCAACAAATTGGATCTGGCCAACATGCAGACTTTCTGGAAGGAATTGAAGCCATGTAGCGATGGCAGTGTGAGTAAAAGGGAGAAAAGAGGTGGCAGAAGGGATAAAGTGGGAGGAGGGGAGATGGCACAGAATGTAATGGGTGATGTCATTGCTGGCTGCTGTGACAGTCCCGGGGGAGAAGTGGTAGTGGGCCGGTGGGAGAGGATAGAAGTGGATACTGAGTGTCTGACAAGTTGGTGGGTTGATCACAGACTGCTGGAGGAAAATACAGTAAGAAAAAGGGAGGACGATGGGAAAGAGCATTAAGAAAAAAACGAGTCGCTGTTGTGTGTCATTTCTCCAGGGAAGTCGAGGGGATCTGTTGGTGTCTCTGTGCTACAACCCCACGGCCAACACTATCACTGTGAGCATTGTCAAAGCCCGCAACCTCAAAGCCATGGACATTGGAGGCACTTCTGGTACACACGCTCCTTTAATTGGTTCCTTTGCGCGTCATTGTTGTGTGCACTTGGAATACATTGAAATATTAACGACTCTAGAGAGGAATTAAATCCATTACATCACACACATCCAGCGGAGTACAAGACTAACAGTTCATACTCCTCTTCCCAGACCCCTATGTGAAGGTGTGGTTGATGAACAAGGACAAACGTGTGGAGAAGAAAAAGACGGTGGTAATGAAGCGTTGTCTAAACCCTGTTTTCAACGAGTCCTTTCCCTTCGACGTGCCTGCCCACGTGCTGAGGGAGACCACCATAATTATCACTGTCATGGACAAGGACAGGCTTAGTCGCAATGATGTCATTGGAAAGGTATCTCCTTGCCTCTTCTTTGCATCTTCCTACCTCTTCCTCTTCCCGTGTGTATTTTTGACTCCATGACAGATCATCTTCATTTAAATCACCCAGCAAGTCTTTACTGACCCCTGCTGGTTGATGTCATGCAACCTCTCAGCTGATCCATCCATCATCCATCCATTTTCTCATCCGCTTATCCTCACAAGGGTCGCGGGCGTGCTGGAGCCTATCCCCGCTGTCTTCGGACAGTAGCCGGGGTACACCCTGAACTAATTGCCAGCCAATCTCAGGATACACATAGACAACCAACCATTTGCCCTCACAATCACACCTTGGGACAATTTGGAGTGCCCAATCAACCTGCCATGCATGTTTTTGGAATGTGGGAGGAAACCAGAGTACCCGCAGAAAACCCACGCAAGCACGGGGCGAACATGCAAACTCCACACAGGAAGCCGGAATCTAACCCTGCACCTGCACTGTGAGGCCCACGTGCTAACCATTTGCCGTGTTTCTCAGCATAAAGGACTTAAAAACGTGCATTGTAAAACACGTAAAGTAATACTCCAGTCATGTTCACGCCATATGTGTCCATTAGCTTATTGACAATATTGCTTCAACTCATTTTGCGAGTGTTGGCCCCAGCCTGTAAGAGGTCCTAAGCAGAATTTCATTTGGGTGCCCCACTCTCAAACCATGGTGGGACCTTTGCTTGACTGATATCCATACAAGTGTACTGTATTCAACTTGTTTCTAGGGTTTTGATTTTTGTGTTGCCTCTCAGAAACACGCCCGAAGCAGCTTAGTTCAATTTTGTCACAGGCCGGCTCTGATGTTTATTTTTATTATTGTTTTCGATGAAGCCAAGGAAGGGTAGCTTGATTGATATATTGACAAACATTAAATTGATTTAGATAACACTGGTTATTATACATCCTCTGGCAGAAATTATGAAACACCAGTCTCAGAGGATGTTCATTCAGTTGTTTAAATTTGCTGAGAAAAAAAAGGAGATCACCAATCTTAAGTTATTTCAAATGCCACATTTCTGGCTTTAAGAAACACTAAAAGAGTGAAAGAAAAAAAACATGGTAGTCAGTGACAAAAATATTTTTAGACCAAGCAGAGTGAAAAAGTTATGGAATCACTGTATTCTGGGGAAACAAATATGGGATCACCCTGTAAATGTCCATTCTCAAAATTAACACCTTCATCAGATTAGACCTTGGAGAGCTGTTGCACCAAGTGGACTGACATGGATCATGGTTCCGACAGCAGGGATGTCATTTAAAACAAAATAGAAAATGATGACAACATCTTAAAGAAGACAAATCATCATGCAATGTTGCAAAAAATGATGGTTGTTCACTCGGGGCTAAACTTCTACCTCAAATCGGCGATCGCTGTTTGTTCACCGTCTAACCACTGAATCCAGTGGATTACCACTTGTACATTTGCCAAAAAAAAAAACACATCATAGATAGTCCCAAAAAAACGTAACATCCAATTTTATTATCGTGGTTAATAGAGTGCACTTTTATTGTGGTTTGTCGACACAAGTTGTTTCATCCATCAGCAGATTTGTTGATGTCTGATTTGGATTTGTGTTAAAAGCCGGGCGCAGCGGAAGACTCAGCGTGACTTTTATACTGTCTGTATTTACTGCTTTGCCAGGCTCTTGTTAAAAAGCCAATTCTCTTTTGATAACGCAGTACGTGAGCTAACATTGTCTCTTCTCCTCGCAGATTTATCTCTCATGGAAGAGTGGCCCCGCGGAGGTAAAACATTGGAAAGACATGATGGGTCATCCACGCACTGCCGTGGCCCAGTGGCATGCACTCAAGGCCTGAGGGAGCGAGCCGGCTCTGCTCCCCGTGCCCTCAGCACACATCCCCTGCTCTCGAGCTGCAGTCGCGGACTGCAGACAGTGTGTGTCACCTCTTTGTTCTCAGGCCTCTTTGAAATCCTGTTGTACTAAATTTCACCCCTTGTCAAACAGTGATGCCCACTTGACCCGCTCTCATTCCTCTGACCCTTAAATGTATTTGATGTCCACCCACTTCCTCCTTGTACTGTCTTTTTATGAGATTTTTCTTTTTTTGGGTCACGATACCACTGTGTCTTTCTTGTCATCCACTCATAGTGTTAAACCCAATAGCAGTATCTCTTGCCACACAAGAATACAAACTGTTCACCAAAAACGGATGAAACGTGGATCCAAAACTCCACTGTGGTGATAACCATAGAGATCAGACGCAGCCGTGCGTGCCAATGGCACTGCCCCATCTGATGTTGGTGTCAGGGAGCAGCCCTCTCACTTGCTCGACTCTGCTGTTGCTGTCACTGCCAGTCTCTATCCTGATTCTGCCCCAAACGTCAGGAAGTTGATGAATGCAATAGGCTCCATTTAAAATGGAATGGATGTAAAGTGGACTTTTTCTTTTTTGCTCCGGCAGCTGTGTAATTATTCACCTTGACTGGAACCCCTTGTTGTCTGTGCGTGCTGTGGGTGATGTGCTGTGACCCCAAATGAAGTTCTTAAAAAAGAGGAGGATTCAATGACAAAATCTCCAGTACTAGGCCACAAAGTTACAGTGTTAAAACCCTGCCCTGTCTTTTCGAACAGAAAAAAAAAAGAGTAGAAGTGATTGATGTTATCTTTTGTTGACAAAAAATAATGAAGAATCAAGTTGTTTCTCCAGACAGAGAAAATAAGCAAAAGCCAGCTTCACGATGTGGTGGTTGTGATGTATTTGTGTGTATCAATGGATGAATGAGAGAGCGTTTTGGCCTTGGTAGGCCTTGATGACAGATTATTAATTTTACATTAATAAAATGAGGCATTTCAATTAATTCCAAAGAAAACACATGCTATTTCAGCGTCACTATTTTCATTCGGCGGTGGTCTCGGGGTGGATCACCCTCGGCAATTGTATTAAGATGACATGATTGTTCAAAAGAAATCCATCGAGGTTAACTTCTGCCTTCTTTTCAGCTGCAAAGTCGAACTCTTTGCCAGCAGCAGATTAAGTTTGGTCATTCTGGGTTTTGGTCCATTCTGGAGTTTTGTCTTCCGGTTATTTGTTTCATTGGTTCAAGAATGAGAAAATACTTTTCATTGTACTTTGTGAAGGAATAAAGCAAAGTCTAATATTCGTGTGTGTGTGTGTGTGTGAGTGCATACAAGACTATTTAATTAACAACACTGTTCATTAAGTTTGTGTGCAATATGAGACAGGTTTAAAAGACAGTGTTTTTGGTTTTCATGTTTTGAGTTGTATTCTTTTATGTCTGCACTTGAAGATGGCAATGCTGGAACAAACCTTTCATAACAACAAATAACAGGGTTATTTTCATATCATTAGGATGGCAGCTGGAAGCTTAAGCTTACAAAGAAAACAGTGACAGATTTTAGGTTTAGACCAAAACAACTAACCACACCAATGCTGGCATTGCCAACGCCCCGCCCCACCGCCCCCCACCACCCCCATGCACACATGCTATCTGGCACAACAAGCTCCACGTCCAGATCCCACCATGCTTTGCTGCTCACCATATGCACGCATGCTGCAAGAGCCAGGAGAAAGAGGAAAGGTGAGACAGGACAGTCATCGCCTCTCTGCATCACAACAAGGTCCCCGGAGCGCGTCACGTCATTCTGAAAGAACCTACTACGTAGTTGTTTGTTTATGCTGATGGCCATGTGTGATAAACAAGGCATACGTTATCTGTGATACTGATGGCTGAGAATTACATTCCAAAGGCATACGGCAAGTCACCTTAATTAATGCAGCTACAAATTCTTGTTAGATAACCGTCAGGGTTTGGTGTATTTTTCAAAAAATAAGGTACAAATGACTTTTCTGTTCTAGACACTATCATCGAATTTACAACACAAAGACTGTTTAAGTGAAAGAGAGGTTATCTAGCACTATCTAATGTACACACTGTGTAAATTACAATGACATTTCCAGTGTGGGCAGTGTTATTTGGGTATCACTATCTGTCTTCGGCATCTGAAAGGTGTTCAATGTCAAATACTCACTGATTGTTTCTTTTTCTTATTTATTATACAGTGTATATAAAAGATAAATGTGTACATACCTGTACATGAAAGCACATCTCATATTGTTTTCAAATCCATGCTTTTCACCACTGATACATCAACTAGGTAAGACAAAAGTATATTCTGAGAGGCAAATCTTGCAAGACAAAATACCAAATTTCCCAAGTCGGCTGGAAGTGAAATTATCAAGTACCGGTAGTTTTGTTGAAATAGCATTTTTACAATTTGCGCTTCATCTTGTTGCAATGGCGAAACAAGGCAGGCACGAGGACTGCCAAGTCTACTGTCAGCATTCCATTGGGCTTATTACAACTACAAATTCGTAAATGTAATGTGCCAAAGACACAAGACAATCTGAACTCATTTTATTCATGTACAGGTTATTTATTATTTTCAGTCCCTTTGATGATGTCGAGGCCAGCAGAGAAGGCACACCACTGGCATTTTGTCTGTTCCGTTCACACTTACTGAAACAATATCCACATCAGACTCCATCTCAGTGTATTGTTGTGAAGTCAAACATGAGCTTTTATCCAAAGCATCCATCCACAAAACTGAGGTGGCACACCAGTGAGCAGTTCTCCGGGGCACAGCTGAATGCTGGGGATGTGGGAGGCGGAGGGATAAATGGAGCAGGAGAATGAAGTATTGAAATTCCTGGTGAGCAGAGGGTGGCGACACAGCTGAGGATCAACCGCGGAGCTGTCACGACACACAGGAAGCAGCGGTGGAGGATGACAGCAAAGCTGGGCCACAGATAGGTACAGTGGGTGTGCGTGGGAAAATGGTAAATGTACACTCCAAACATGTCTCAGAGCTGCAGGGATCTGATTTCTAGTCCCAGCATCTGTGGGTTCCAAAAGTGACATATTTTAAATTCTTTCAGAAAACATGTTTTGTCAAAGACGTTTCATCATTATAAATGACTTCTGTTTACACACATGCACAAATGCTCAATGTGTCCTAACAGTACTGAAAGCCTTTTGAGCATAAATTCCATATTTTTGGTATTTTTCTCGAGGTCTGTTTACTTGTATGCTTTTTATCCTCACTATAACTCATATATGTGGCAAAATTCATAATCTTGTGGTTTTAAGCAACATCGCCAACCATTGTGTCTGTATGTGCACGTTCAGCTTCGGGCGTCCGCGCGCAATAGAAATGCATTCAGAAGAGATGTCGGAGTGAAGGACACTGCATGACTCAAGGACTTGTGAGCGTGAGCTGCCACCGCTCCAACAAACTTGTGTTGGGCAGATTGATAATGAAACATTGATGCCCAGGATACTATTCGGTATACATCAACTATGATTAATAATTTTGGAACTGTATATTGACATGATGAACACAGTGGAGCCCTGTGTTGATGAAAAACTAATGGTGGACTTCAAGTTACAAGATCCAATTTGAATAATACAGTGATGTTGTTGTGAAGCCATTTAAAATGGCCGCAAGCCAAAGTGAAGGTTATTGTCTGTGTGAAGATGATTCATCACATCCGGCAGAACTTGAGCTTGTTTGCGAGTTGAATTATGATCATTTTTGTCGTGTTTTTTAGGCAATTGTGCTATGTGGCCAATCGTATAAATGTTTTTTTAAACCACTTTTTCAACATCAGCATTTCCACCCGCCCCCTGCAATTTCAAGGTCGGACAAAAGACCTTTCAACCATTTGACCCTTCCCCTGGCCTATTATTTGCATGAATCGTGAATTGAAACAGTTAGACCTGTTACAGTATTAAGTGACAGTGTCCAAAAAAAAAAATCTTGTGAAACCTCACACACGTGGGCTGACAAATGTCCTCAGCAGAATAAACATTCCAATTTATTTTAAGACATTGTTCATACAAATTGTGGTCAGCATGTGCTGTTTTTGTGTTGTATTAAAACACCTTGTCTGATATATGCAAACATTATAATTTGACCTGCAGTCACAGGAAGGCTTGATCTAATTTAATAATCTGCGCACATCTGGCCAGAGGGCTCTTCTCTAGTCTGCAGTTGAGGATTACAATGAAGGGATGAGAGTGTGGAGTCATATTTAAATGCCTCAGAGCAAACATTGATGAGCTTTAAAAAGAAAGACAATTTCAGTGGTGCTTAGGATGCAATAAAAAGATTGGCTAATTCTCTCTGAAACCCAGAGGCATAGTGCCTCATAATGATCCATATGAGCACCATAGCTCGTGTAATAACTTTGAAGATGTTCATCCAGATAAATCAAATATGGGTGCTTCGGATAATTCATAATTGCCGGCTTCACTTGAAGGCATATAGCAGATGGATATGGTTGACATCGGGTATGTGCCCATATTATCCATTTATAGTACTGTAGACATTTGCATCACATCCCCATCGGTTGTACTCGAGCGTACCTTGTCGCCATCTGCTGAATATAAAGTGACACTGCAGCAAGCGCGCAAAATGTCATTTGATGTGGCCTGCTAAGGCTTGCCACAATCTTTCATTGACTTCTGTTCAAATTGCTCTGAAAAAAAAATATGCCAGTATTTTTAAGGTATTCATGCATTATTTGGAATGTCGATGAATGTGCCAGTTTTTTGGTTTTTTTTGCATTTTGTTCAGTTGCTGTAGTGAATGTAAACTGAACTGTGAACTTAAAACCAAGGTTCAGTGGCTATAAAGTCCACTGTTCAAATGCCAGATTTTTTTGTGATACAAAAAAAAAAAAAAAAAATGAGATGTCAATGTCAAGCATGCCAAACTTTCTTCCACTGTTCACCTGGAATACACAAAACGCAATTGGGGAAAAAGAAATCTTTTTAAAAGGGGAAGTACAAATCAATACCTGAGGTAATGTGGTTGCACAAGTGTGCACACCCACTCACAAGTGGGTCCGTGGCCTTCTTCCCGACTTTCAAACACAGGTTAAATGGGAGACAGCACACTTGGGCGACCATTTATAGTGCCTCTTATAAAGTCCCCAAACAGTCCAAATGCTGTAGTAGCTTTTCCTGACAATGTTTTAAATATTATTTCCAAAAGAAGCAAGAAAGTTATGTTCTAGCACTCAGAGCGTGCTTCTCAAATAGTGGGGCGGCCCCCGCGAGGCTCCGTCATGGGGGCGCGTTTTACCTTGGGGAACTTGCTTTTTTTATTTTTTATTTTTATTTTTTTTTGAATGTCCCAGAAAAAAAGTGCAATTGCACCTCCACTACATTAGGGGGCAGTGGCGCCCTCCTTGGCAGAATGTGCGCAGGCAGCATTCGCTCGGTGCAGTAGGGGTTTTGTTTGCACTGAGTATGAGTATGAAGTGTACTGTAGACACGAAGTGTTGCAGAACCTCAAGTGACACTATGAAAAAATATTTAACAGGGATGAGAAAACACGCGGAGAGAGACGGAGATAAAGAGGCAAACGAAAGTTTCCCGAAAGCTAAGACGAGGAAATATGACGAAGCGTATGTAGCGCTTGGCTTCACCGTGACTACGGTGGGAGACGAGGAAAGACCGGTGTGCTTACTGTGTCTAAAAATGTTGGCAGCGGACAGCATGAAGCCAAATAAATTAAGGCGTCACTTAAAGACATTACACCCCAATCACGCTGATAAGCCGCTTGAGTTTTTTCAGCGAAAACGTGCCTAATATTGCTAACAATCATCCCGCTTTGTGACTGCTATTCACTTTTTTTGTGCTCCCGAGTTAATGTTGGTGATCAGTTCGAATGCATTATTATTTATTTATTTTATGCAATTTTGTTTTTCAGTATTGTATGGTTTGACATGGTCAGTCAAAAATGTTAATAGTTTAATTCAGGATTTAATCTTATTTTTGGATTTCAGATGCACTTTAAATCTTTTCTGTTCGTCAATACGGCAAAGCTATTCTTTGTTGTAAGTTGGTCCAGATTTCTTTCTTTTTTATTCTTTTATATGTTAATAAGTGTTATGCAGAGATGTACTTATAACAATTTTATAGACAAATGATACTATTTATAGTTGCGGGGGGAGATGTTTTCTTCTTCCTAGGAGAGTGTGGGGGAGGGGGGGGGGCATGACAGAAAATAATTGAGAACCACTGCATCAGGGCAAATAGGCAGATGCTACAGGCACCAGAGACTTCGGGGAGCACCAAAATGAGTACTGTATAGGCGCTGAAAAAAATGCCTTTGAATATTCATCCATCAATTTACTGAACTGCTTTATCCTCACAAGGGTCGCAGGGGTCGTTGAAGCCTATCCCAGCCATCTTCGGGCAGTAGGCGGGGGACACCCTGAACCGGTTACCAGCCAAACGCAGGGCACACAGAGACAAACAATCATCCACGCTCACACTCACACCTAGGGACAATTTGGAGCGTTCAGTCAACTTGCCATGCATGTTTTTGGAATGTGGGAGGAAACCGGAGTGTCCATAGAAAACCCATGCAGGCTCGGGGAGACCATGCAAACTCCACACAGGGAGGCTGGAGCTGCAATTGAACCCAGTACCTCTGTACTGTGAGGTCAACGCGCTAACCACTGGACCTGAATATTCATTACTTTCTATTAACTCTTAAAATGGAATAGATAATTGGCCTTTGAATTCAAATGCAAAGCAATGCCAAATTACTGTAAGATTTAAAAACAAAAAACAAAAAAAAAAAAACAAACATTCAAAATAAGTCCAGGTGATGACTCATTCAACCCGCGACCCACCTACAAACATACCTTTTGGAATTACGGCTAAAACTTAATCCTTGGTCTTGATCAGACTGATACACTTTCTCATGTGCACTTGGCAGATTTTTAATGTTTTTTTTTTTTTTGGTTTGTTTGTTTTTTGTTTTTTTTATGGTCTTGCCGCCATACCACAGACAAATTTAAAAGATAGGACTCCCTGAGTAGTTTTGTTCTCGTCTTTTCCAAAATTTGGAAGGGATGTCCAGTTATTAGTAGTGGCACTACATTCATCGACAGTGTGGAGGTGGGTGTGAATGGTCGTTCATCTCTATATGTGCCCTTCGACTGACTGGCGACCAGTCCAGGGTGTTGTCTGCCTTCCGCCCGAAGTCAGCTAGGAAAGGCTGTTATTTCTGGCCCCGATTTTTGATGTGCATGCAGTTATATCCAAACTCTTGCAAACTGGAAAATGGTCATGAAAAAAAACAAGAGATGATCAATATTGATGAAATAACATTCTTGTGGTGGTCACATCATAACTGCAGCACAAAAACAAGATTGTTTCAATCCTAGGCAAAATGAATGTTGTGCTGCCTAGGATCATCAGCTTCAATTCATCTTAACAAAATGTATCTCACACGCTGATGCTTTTTCAGCCCTGCACTTACATAACAAGAATAAAATGTTGTCATTGTATTGTGGCCCACAATAAATTGCACACAACTGACTTGATAAAGTACGGTAATCCAGTTGGACGTCTTCCATAGTAGGTTATGTCACCATTATTTTCATTAAGCACCTCAAAGAGTCTGTTGAATGGGGGGGTTCTGGGGGGATTTGGTTGCTCATCCACGTTAACCTTCCTTTTCTAGGTATTCCAAGCTGGGGGCATCCAACCTCTGCTCCTGGTTGCGATTCTTTGTGAACTCCTTTAGCATCTCCATGACCTCTCCTTGGTAAATGTCTGGGGTGGGCTGAGCCTCTGGAAGCAAAACAGAAAGTGAGGGGATTCTTTTCACAATATTACAACAACAAAAAATAATGAACTCATAATCTTCTGATAATCAGGCATATATTTTCAAGATTCAAATTGTATTGTAATGGGAATAAAAATGAACATTTTTGAGGAAAAAATGAGTCACACTTAAACAAGAGCTTCAAATCAACACAGCTGATACCTGTACATCCGTCTGAGGCTAGTCGCAAAGTTTAGTGATTTTAACCTGATGTCGGTGTGCCCAAATACTGATGACTGTAATTCATTCTTTTGACAACTACCGTATAACAAATTATGATTTGACAAAATTCCCTACAGAGGCACTATGGACAAATGGTTAGCACAACCGCCTCACAGTTTTGAGATTCAAGGTTTGAATCTGGCCTCTGGCTTTCCTGTTTGGAATCTGTATATCTCTTCGTGCTTATGTGGATTTCCTCTGGGTATTCTGGTTTAATCAGTAGGTGTGAATGTCAGTGTGATTGACTGGTGACCAGTTCAGGGTGTACTCTGCTTCTCGCTCTAAGTCATCCGTGACCATAATGCGGAAACACATGCCAGAAAACCGACGGATGAATGGAGATTGACTACATTACTGATCGTTATGCAGGCGCTTCATTCAGCACAACCGCTTGTAATGACGCCCCTATATTCTGTCAAATAATTTAATCTCAGAAAAAAAATGTGCATACACAACTTTTTATAAAACATTTTTTCATGAGGTATAATTATCCCCGAAAAAGACAATACTTCAATAGGAAAATCAAGCAGTCCAATCGTACTCCCACAAAAGCCTACACAGGCATGGCAGAACATGTAAACTCCACAAAAAAGGCTCAAAATTTGGGTGTTCGGAGCATTATAAGGTCATAAATTATCACATCTTTGGAAAGAAAGACAGCAATGAAAGAATTCTTTCACCTGTTGCCCAGTAGTAGATGTCCCAGTCATTGCTGGGTTCGTTGATTATTCTGTCATACTGCTGCAGCTGGGTCTCACTCATCGTATTCAGGTATCGCTTGGCAAAAAGGCTACGGGGGGGAAAAAAAATCATTAGCCAAAGTGAAAACGTTTGAAAACATGCGCTACATTTAAACACATCAGTTGGCACAGTTCCCTCGACAGCCGGTATCCTGGATGTTTTATAGGTCTCCCTGTTCCAACACAACTGATTCAAATGATCAGAATTGTTATTCATCTTCTGCACATCTTGCTGATGAGCTGCTCGTTTGAATCAGTGTGTTGGAGCAGGGAGACATATAAGACAGCGGCCCTGGAGGACCGGAATTGCCCCCCTCTGATTTAAAGACACAGGCCACAACGTTTGACCACCTGCACGATGTCGGATGGAATAAACTGTGTGTACCAACAATGCTGAAATTGGATTGGCAATTTGCACTGCATCAGATAAGGAGGTGTTTTTATTGAGCTCCAAAGCTCTGCATGAATATTGTTAAATTGTTACCTCTTTGACAGTCACCATTCTAAACTGAGCTTTGTCATATTTGTAAAGTCTGAATTTATGTGCGGGGCTAAATCATGGAGGTGGACATACAGTACTTGTTTGCCCTTTAGATGTATTGTATATAACTAGTATGTGGTGTAAAGCAACTTAATCAATGACTACATTTTTTTTTTAGGGCAGCACAGTGGATGACAGATAAATGCACCCGCCTCACAGTGCAGATGTTGTGGATTCAAATCCAAGCTTCAGCCCTCCGGTGTGGAGATCGCCTGTCCTTCCTGTGCCCGTGTGGGTTTTATCCAGGTACTCTGCTTTCCTCCCACTTTTCATAAACATGATCAGTCGGTTGATTGAATACTCTAAATTATGCATAGTTGTAAATGTGACTGCAAATGCTTGTTTTTTTTCTATTTGTGCCCTGCGACCTTTGCCAACCAGTTCAGGTTTGTACCCAGTGACTCTCGGCCAAAAGTCAGCTGGGATCGGCTCCAGCATACCTGAGACCCTGCTAGAGGTACAGGGAGTGTATGGATGGATTCTTTAATAACCTGAGCAGTATGCAGTTCTCCAACATGCCCCTTTTACGGCTCTCATACAGCAGGCGCCGTCTCTTGATGTCAATGGGCTCTCCAGGCTTGTCCTCCCAGGGGGGCAATGGAATCTCAATCAGGTCAGTCCTGGTATCATCAGGTGCATCGCCACGGTAACAACGGGTCGGGACCAGACCAGTGACCACCGGTCTCCATGCTGTCTGGCAGATCCCTGTCATCAGCTAGTGCAAAACCACAAGAATATCAAATTAAATTAAATCTTAAACTCCTCAACCAAACATTTTACATTTCTATAATTATGTTTTTTCTCAATGGAACCTAGAATTTTCACGAACTACAGTCAAACTAGAGATGGAACATTCGTTTTTTGGGGGTGATGGATCGAAGTATGTTTTATCAGTGCGACAATTATGAATCGTAGAATGAAGAAATGAGCCAAAATCATTGAATGTCAGGCTTTATCTGTGCCGTTTAATAGCATTGTGCACTGGCAGTAAACATCTTGAAACCTGTTCGGGAATGGAAAACCCATTCACGCCACTGCTAAACAAATAAATCCATCGTCTTCAGACAAGTACTAAATTGTGGTCTATGGCTCGGGCAGGTTAATAACTTTGCAAGGAAATCGGCAAGTCAACAAGGCGTCATGAAATAATATATCGACCTGGCTCAAAGGAGATTCTAGAATATTTGTGTACCTCCTCGTATGTAAATGGTTCAGACCAAAAACGCATATTATAGTGGCAATAGCCAATTGGTCAAAAAGTGGGGAAAACATAAGCGCATACAGCAGAGATACGCTTCTGTCTCTTCCAAACGTATGCGGTATTACACATCATGGTGCTCCCACTTGCGACGCAAATGAGCAAATATAGTGGTGTGATATGGCACTAAAGTTCGTTTGGTCTAGACATACAGGTGGTACGTTTTGTGGCAAGTAAGTGGGAAAACAATCCGATTTTTGTCTTGCTGTTTGAGAATACAAATGTTGTCAATGACAGAACACGGCGGAGGAGTTGCATAATGTCTCCTGCTTGTCTGTTGTGCAACAACTTGACTGTTGTACAATTATCATAGCTCTACACAAGACAGATGTTAGTGCAATACATAAAAATATAAATACGTTGATGAAATACTCCACTTATATAATGGACAATAATACAGTAGGAAAAATACTCTGAGGGTTAAGATTACAGACAGTACAATATGTCGATTCAAATTACTCTCGCCGAAAATAATAAATTGCAGATTACGAAGCAGAATTGCTGTTCAATTCAAACATACATAAATACATAACTCACTCTTTTCGCAATAACGGAGGACAACATTTGGCTGCGCTGCGACCTTAACCTCTGGAGCTAAATCGCAAAACGTCAAAAGCAATAAACGCCCCCTGACGTCAAACACCTTGTGATTGGTCCACGATAGGCACGTGACGCATTGTGGGTGATATAACAGTTGCGTTTGTCTCAAAACAGTTCTCCTTACAAAGTCACCGTACAAGTAGCAAAGCTGTTTGTACACAAGCGCATTTGTAACCAGAACCGTTCAAACGTGTATAATAGCTAATTACTGTTCCCTTCACACATCCACATCCGATCAAGGAGTAGGAACCAATATTTCTTATGTTGCAAGCCGGTTGCATTTAGCAGGTACACATGACCAGGCAAGTACGTTAGCAACGCTAGTGTCAGTGGCCCAATGCGAAACTGTATCAATATAAATAATCCGTGGGAAGACGTGTGCATTGTTGACATAAAATTTGATTTTACAAGACATCGTTCTGTCGTGCAATGCTTTGATGCAAATGCACATTGATTGTTATATATCTGGTCCTAACGTTTGCTAACGTTAGCTTATGTTCGACGTCAACAAAAGTATAAATCTGGTCCAGCATCACGTTCCGCTTTTCGTTGATGCTGCACCTAGCATAAATGTGCTTATCGAAACTCCCCAGCTGAAGAAACAAAATTAGAAACAGCCTCACGGTCATCGTCATTCTTTGAATGATCCCTGGTCCTCGTGATGGCTGCAGCCGGACCGAGTGAATCCAAAACGGCGACCGCAGACTTGTACTGTGACCTGAATCCAAAGGACGAGGTGAGCCTTTTCTTGGTTTACTGCGAAAGCAGTGACTACGGCGCCGATTTTGGGCTGCATTAACTTTTCTCTGTGTGAAAAACATCTTAATTTGTAGTCTTGTTCCCTTGTTGTTGTCTTGTATCGTCACTTCGTATTCCCACGTTCACGAATATGCTAAAAGTTAGTTTATGTTTTATTTTTTATTTATTACTGTATTCATTATTTACCCTGCAAACATTTCCTAAAATATGATGATCCCGCTGCAATGGTATGTAGTACAAATGTTACTCAGGAATGTAGTTTTGCTGAGTTGACACTGCACAGGATGAAATGTAGAAGATGCGCTCAGTTCTTTAATCTCACCACAGGATTTGGACAGAATCGATGAGGCAAATGACCTCTTCGATGATGCTGTACTTTCTGGCTCAGTTGATCAAGATAAGAAAAACACTTTGAATTCAGATGCTGGCGGGATAACGCCAACGAAAGTGGAAGATAATGTGGCCACGGTGAAAGCAGATGAAAAAGAAACAAACCAGCCACGAAGATTCTCATTATATATTGGGAATTTCTCCTGGGTGAGTTGTACATCATACATACAGCATATTAATTAAGACAAAGAGGTCAATGTATCATCATACTGTTGAATCGAAGTTACACGTTTTAAAGTGTGACACACACTCACTCGCTCACACACACACACACACACACACACACCAGAGGTAAGATCTTAAGCTCGAGCCCAACCCGGGCCTAAAATGTCAATCATTGCATCGGGTCGGGCTTCTCTCTCGCTGACTTTTTTAATATAAATATATGTTTAGTGCGCTGAGGCGTTTCGAGGCCGTGAATAGTTTTGGCCACGAGAGACTGTGGCCAAAAAAACAGAAGTCATCACAACACGTACTGTACTAAACTCTCTTGCAATGACAATTCAAAGAACTCCTTCCTGTCTCTGTCTATTATCCACCCGTCATTGTTCTTCTTTGTCTCTCTGCTTCTCTCAAAGTGCCTCGCTACATTCTTAAGGACGTACTGCTACTGTGGTTTATGGCTCAATTTTCAACCCGTCAAAATGACGGGAGGGCCTTAAATTTTTCCCGTCAACTCTTAAAAAAATCCTTCAATGATGGAAAATTGTCGGTTAATGTACCATCTGCACAAACAGAAATATAAAAGATTTAAATGTTTATACAGTCTTGTTTAATTTAGATTTCGTTACAAAAGACAGGCTTTAATTTTTTATCAGAATCAGAATCGCCTTTATTGTCATTGTATTACATACAACAAAATTTGGGTGCCACTCCTTAGTGCATTTCGTAAATCATTATCATAAATCACCCCTCCTCCTCCCGCCTCCTCACAAATAAAATATGAAATTTCGGGTTTGCTTCGGGCTCGGGCCTGCAAATCAAGTTAATTGGTCGGGCTCGGGCCGGGTCGAACTTTTAATACCCGCGGGCCGGATTTTTTAGGACCGATCTTACCTCTAAAACACACACGCGTCCCTCTCACCCCTATAACACACACACACACACACACACACACACACACACACACACACACACACACACACACACACACATGCACAGGGTCAGGCAAAATGATCTGACACATTTGTAGGTTAGATAAACGGCAAATAAAGTCAAGAAACAAAAAAGTGTTTTTATTTTCGAAAAGTACGTATACAGTAATGCCATTCTGTTTAACTATGTTTTAAAAATTAAGTGGAGTTCTGGCGGTGCGAGGTCGGCCGGTTGACTTTAGTTTCAGTGCAGATCCAGTAGCTCTGAAGTTGGAAACCCATAACAAGAGCGTGTTTCGAGCTGGTACGGGATCATGTCTACCAAGATAGAAGTGTAAACGGAACGCAAGTTGTGTTGCAGTTACAGATTCGTTTGTTTTGATAAACGTTTCCACAATGAAAGTGCGATGCTCACCAGTACAATTCAAGGCAGCAACTGAAAAAGAAACGAAAAACAATGCCATTGCAAAATGGCATTTTTTATATATATATATATATATATATATATACTTTTCGAAAATAAAAACACTTTTTTGTTTCTTTACTTTATTTAACCTACAAATGTGTCAGATAATTTTGCCTTACCCTGGAGATATGCTCAGCACTTTTTCGATGAGATTAAAATATAGATTAATTAGATCAATTGATTAGATCAATTAATTACAGATAATAAATCTCACAATTTAATCGCTTAACAGCACTAATATATATATATATATACACATACATACACACGCGCGCGCGCACACACACACACACACACACACACACACACACACACACACACACACACACACACACACACATATACATATACATACACAGAAGTTTGACCGCTGACTGATGTAGAAGACCCCTGCTTGTAAGGTAATCATTACCCATGTCCTTCTCATCCCTTCATATCATGACCCTTTAGTGGATATCTGACAAGGACCTCCTACACTTGGCCCAGAAATTAGGGGTAAGGGATATTGATGAAATCAAATTTGCAGAGAACAAAGCAAATGGCCAATCAAGAGGGTAGGTGATTTTTTTTCTTTTCTTTAAAAATGTTAAAAACCCTCAATTATCGACTGAATGCTGATATCGGTTAGGAACATGATGTAGGGTTGATGTTAATGCACATATTCATGTCTTTACTACAGCTATGCAAAGGTGGTGGTGACTTCTGAAAATTCATTAAAAACATTGTTGGAGAAAATTCCCCAATGTACTCTGGATGGGGAAAACATAGACTGCCGTTTTGCAACTTATCAGAACTTCAGTGTGTTTGAGAATGTCGCTAATAAACGTGAGTACCACCAATTTCACACATTCGCCACATTGATCGTGTTGCAAATGTGCCCTTGACTCATCAAAAAATGTTCTTCACAGGATTTCCAATGCGCAGTCATTCCAAAGACACCGATTCGCAGATCTCCTCGGCATTTTCTTGGGATACCAATCCTCCCAGTACACCCGCTCAATTTCCATCACATCCAGTCGGAAATGTCTTTCCCCAACATTCCAGCCCTTTCCCCAGCCAGCCACCCCCTCCCTTCCCACCTCTGCCACTCAACATCCCTCCACCACATCTTTTTCCCCCTCCACCTTTCAATGCGCCTACCCAGCCCCCTCCAAGTCTGCATATAAATCCAGCTTACTTCACCCCAGCACAAGACAGACACAGAAGTCATGCTTATGGTCACCAAAAGTGAGGATGTGTACAATTTCCATCTTCTTCCAATCAGAATTCATTACTATAGCTATGAAATAATTTGCATTATTCATTGATCAACTTGACAATATCTCCGTCTGCCGGCGTAAAACTATCTTTGTACTTTGCAAACGTTTCAGGGGGGAGAGAGATTATGAAGATCTGTTTAACAGAAATAGAGCTGTAGCTAGCAGCGCCATTACTAAGGCTGTGACAGGTGCAACTGCTGGTAAGTGCACCTGATCCCATTGTGTTGTGCTGAAAATTGGAGATTCATTATTACAAAAGTAAAAGAATGCCATCTTGATGCATGTATGAATCTTGGGGTACCGTAGTATGACATTAGTACTCAAACTAGTTGTTGGTGACTCACCGATAAAACTCAACTATGTGGGATTTCCCATCACCTGTCTGAACTAAATATGTGCGTGTCACATAATTTAGCCTCTCTGCTGCATATTCATTTTCAACACTCTTTGCTGCACAAATGTTTGTAATTACAGGAGACCAGAGAGTGGCTATGGAAACGCTGCTAACGGCCATTGCCATCATCAAGCAATCCAGTGTGTACAGGGATGAGCGCTGCCAAGCCCTCGTCACCTCCCTCAAAGACTGCCTAGTGTCCATCCAGGGAAACTGTGGCTACAGGTATGCTCGCATTGGCAAGCTTCATTCCATGCATGGAAATTGCATACAGTCTTGGGGCAAAGTCACCAAAAATAAATAAGTTTAAAAATTAAGGATGTTGGATAGTAATTTGCTACCGGTATGAGTATTCAACTCTTGAAGACTCACCAATACCGATAGCACTAGTGCTTTTGATTACATAAAAATTCGATTAAACCAATGATCTTTTTAAATATCTACATATCCCAGGCGTGTTAAACTCATTTTTGTCCAGGGATACATTTTACCACCCGTTTTCCTTGGAGGGCCGTTATAACTAAAACCAGTTACCGTCATGTGGGGTTTGGTAACAAGAAAATGCTAACATTATCTCTTATCTACTACATATGAGAATTTTAAATTTTGGTAGAGATTTTATCAAGCATCATGGAAGTTGACATGCTTGATTTGATTTCGCGGGCCACATGAAATG